GGGTCATCTCTGTAATTTTAAAGGCCCTCGGGCAAACATGATCATAAGGCCCATTAAACTAATTTTAATATGACGATTGAAGTATATAGTATGAAAAAAATAACTTACAACATATGTTTAGTTTGTAAAAGATAATGGTTGTACAACCAAAGAACTATAATAACAGTAAAATAATTATTACGATTATTTCAAATAAAACAATAACGCTTCAATGCTTTGTAAAAGAAAATCAGTTTTGGGCATTTCTTGATTCAAAATCTTCAAGAACTGTTGTGAGATCAATTTCAAAATATCCTGCTCAATGTTGCCCATATCCAAGCCATTCAATGGCCAGCCAGAATGACCACGGTCTTGCTTCTCACACTACACGTCCTTGATGGGTGGCGGGCGACGGCGTTGGGCACTCCTTGCTTTGAGGTGATTTGGACAAGAAGGCGATCCGGAGATTGATCGAAGTGTGATGTGTCGACAAACTATATGGATCGAAAATAGGAAAAGACACTGGCCTAATATATGAATCTTAAAACATTTTATTATAATGCCTATATATATCTACTATATACATATATACTCATGCCCCCCTAGCGGCTTGGGCCCTCGATGGTCGCACCTCTTGCCCACCCCTAGAGACGGCCCTGGCGTGCTTCTTTCATTAAGTAGTCACCCATAGCTACCTAGAACCTTCGGCGGGTGAGAGCGGACCAGCCCACCATCCCAATTTTATTCAACTAAATTATTGATATGTTGGCAATTCTAGTTCCTCCATTATTAATTTTTGAAAACGGTGTGTGTGGGTGTTAAGATAAATGGTGATGTTGGAGACTTCTTTCCCACACACAAAATGGCTTAGGCATGTTAATCCACTTTTTCAATTTTATACAACTTAATTGCTAATATATTGGCAATTTGAATTACTAATTTGTGGGTGGGAGTGGTTCCAGATTTAGTAGATGAGGTCTACCTATCTTACAATATGCTGATGACAAATTATTTTTTGTGGATCATGATCTTGAACATACAAAATATATCAAACTCCTTTTATATGGTTTTGAATAATTGTCATGACTCAAAATCAATTTATGTGCTCCTAGAGGATATGATCGAGACAAATACAACAAAAAAAGACATCCAATTACGACCAATATAGATGGAATCAAAAGTCGTTCAAACAATATGCTAATTAGTGTATCCAATATCTAGACCCAAAATGTCATCAAAATACCTATGGATAAGAACAATTGAATTTAATCGATGCTAAGGGATTTGTCGGAAAAACAAAATCAATGATATGGTTTCTGAGTTACCTTTCTCAAGATTAAATACTCAACCTGAATAATATATCTTTATGGGTGTTAGGAACCTTTCAACTAAGGCTTTGTTTAAATTCAGGGTGTAAAGTTTTGGGGTATCACATTGGGTGTCACATGGGGGTGTCGCATGGGGTGTTAGGATACTAATAAAAAAACAAATTACAGAATCAAATCGATAATCCATGAGGCAATTTATTAAACCGAATTAATCTATCATTAGCACATATATTACTGTAGCACCACATTATCAAACTATGGACTAATTAGGCTTAAAAGATTCATCTTATAAATTAGTCATAAACTGTTCAATTAGTTATTTTTTAGTCTATATTTAATACTGTCCAAATATTCGATAGGACAGTGAATAAACTTTAAGGGGAGGAAATAACCAAAGCCTAATTTTGTGGGCTATCGGACGAATCTACCGGTATATTTTTGCGAACGTAACAAGTGTGCTATTCTACTTATACGTCAACGGCTGGACGAACTAAAAAATGTAGGTATGGATGATCGGCGAAGATCCTACGTATAAAATGTCACACGTCCTAGTCGCGTCATCTCTTATTGCAGATGACATGCACTTCTCGCACAAGTCAAACAGCCCGCAGTGTGAACGTCACGTGCGGCTGTTGCGCGCCCCAAAACATGATCTGTTAGACGGTCTGAACCTATAGGCACCCAAATCTAAAATAGATATGAAAAGATCTAAAATTAGTCTTCGACAGAGTATCTATACGGGAGATTTATTTTGTTTTGTCTGAGAGACACAACTCAAATATGGGCATCCTCTCTCCTGAAAACTTATTTGTATAAATGATTCTCTTTTGAGTTTTGTTGTTGGAGAAGATGTCGAATAGTTATTTAACCTTTTACCTGTAGCGCTACCCAAAGGACGAATATGTCTTGTATTTTGGATGTTGTTATTGAAGATATGTCTTGTATTTTAAATGTTGTTGTTGGAGATAGTCTTAGCCTGTTACAACGAACCTGCCTGACAAATGAGAAATCATGGGAGCGTGTGCCCGCTGCTGCTGCCGCGAACCTGAACGCAATACACAGTCAGAAACAAACGGCCGCCGGCTGGCAGTCAAGCCAATACGTAAGCACCAGCACGCCTGGAGCGACCACTCCGACACGTATAAATATACAGCGACACCCCTTCCAGGAGACGCAGAAGCAGCAGAGCAGACGCAAAGCTAGAAACAGAGCGAGGCAGTATAGCAGACTAGCAGAGAGCTAGCAAGTGACCGGCGGAGTTGCAGCAGCAGAACGCCGGCGACAGAGAGCGACCAGGCCGGCAAGATGGTGCAGCAAGCTGCGAAGGAGGTGATCCCGCTGATGACGCCTTACAAGATGGGCCAATTCCAGCTCTGCCACCGGGTGGTCCTCACGCCGCTGATGAGGTGCCGCTCCAACGGCAACGTGCCGCAGCGGCACGCCACCGTGTACTACCAAAGGACTAAAAACGGCGACTAGAGGGGAGTGAACGAGAGCCGTAAAATTTCTCGCTAAACTTTTCGACCAATGTCCTCAAATTACCGACAAACGCGCGAAGCAAACACCGCGATGTCCACAACCAAAAAAGTGTGTGGATGTTCCTACGAAACACAGCGGGACACCACAAAGCATTCCGAGCGAGAACACGCCAAATCGAGGAGCGAAAAATAGGATGCCCAACTCCTATTGAGAAGAAGCGGGTTCCCAAATCTAAAATACCCAAGCCAATGAGTGACAAGAGTACTTCGACAGATGCCTCGAAACGGTAGAAAGCCAACACAAAAATTAGAACTCGAATCGGAGACCAAATGCGCAAACCACAGGCAAAACGCTAGGGCTGGAAATTCAGGCTGGAAATTCGAGCAACTGGAACTGGAAATTGGACCGGCAATTCTCACAGAAAACAGAGATACGGAAGCTGGCACCGGACACGACACCGCCTCGAGCGGACGGTGCACCGTCCTGAGACCCGACGGTGTACACCGCACCCTCCGGTGGCTACACGAGCGTGCTGAAAAGAGCCGGCCTGGGCTGAGTGCGCTCGGCGCTTGCTGCGCTAGGGATCCGGGGACGAGCAACCGAACGGAACGTCGCAACGGTGGGGCTGCTCACCGCAGAGAGGAACCAGCGGGGTCTGCGTCCCAGACCAACACCGATGAACAGGATGAAGTAGCGCCTCTGCTACGTACAAGAGAGACAGAGGCACGACGAGCTGCTAGCGCTGCGTGGCTGTGTGCCGGTCATCTCCAACCAAGGTCAGTGCACCGGTTTCCTGAGTGAAGGACACAGCTGCAGGTGCCACTCAATCGATTCCCTCTCAGGACTGACACAACAGAGAAGAAGGAAGCAACGCACTCAAGAACAGAGAGCCGACGCTCGACGAACAGAAAAAAGGCGACAAAAATTCGATGAAATTCGACTCAAAACTCCAAGATTCGTTCCCAAAATTTGCACAGACGCAATTCAACAAGGAACGAAACTATTCCCCAAAAATCATAGCCTGGGATTGAACCAAACTCCGGGAAATTGAGATCGAACCAAAAAACGAAAAAGGGGAAAAATTAAAGAACACAGTGAACGAAAATCACAGCTTCAATTCAGGAATCCCAGAGGACAGCTGGAGGATTCGGGCCTCCATTCCCAGCTCAAAACTCAGGTTTGATTACACAATTTTGGAATTTATGGACCTCTTTTATGAATACTAAGGGGAGCAGAAAACCTAGGGCAAGGAGAAAATGAAAATGAGAAGAGGCGAGGGTGATGGGACACTCTCGTCTTATTTAATAGGCCTATTACACAATCCTAATTTGGTCCCTAAATATTTTTAAGCTGAACCATTAACTTGAGGGCGTAATGGTCCAACTCTTTCGGACGGCCACGCTTTCTTCACAGATTTGCTTCGCCTTGACGCAACCTCCATGATTCCGCCACGTGTCGCCCCGTTCCTCCTCGGAACCTCTGCCCAAGTTTTGGGACCCAAAACCGTAAAACCCACCAAACCGTCGCGAGTAGCGTACTCCATACACGTCCCCCGTCACTCGACGCGTGTCACCTCCATCCTCGACCGGTCAGCCGCCAAGTCTTCCAGAGCCCCGCTCGACTCGCTCGACCGCCGTCTTGATTCGGTCAATACGGTCACTCCACCATGTACACTTGCACTTGTCGATGTCCCCAGATGTCAGCCACCGCGGCTGGTCACCCGGCCTCCTGGTCCCTCAGTCCAAGCCTCACGTCCGTCCTTCACTCCCGGTCCATCAGCACGGCACATCCCTACTTGACCTTCACCTCGCCATCGACCACCGCCTCCGAGCTTCATACCTGCGCACCACAAGCCAAGACACATGTTACACAACCCAACCCACGCCACGGTTAGCTCACAAACTCAACTCAAAAAGCAAGTCACGTTGACAATTACTCATCACAACTGAACCTTAAGGGCACATATCAACCTTGTGTTTGCAATCTCCCCCTTGATGAAGTGAGCAAAACTTGGTCCCTAAAGACATTTGAAGTGAGCAAAACTTGTAAAACTTGGTCCTCAAAGACATGGACAACTCAAGAAGCAAGTCACGTTGACAATCACTTATCACAACCGAACCATAAAGACATATATCAACCTTATGTTCGCAAGTACGCGCAGCGCGCCACCAAGGGTGGCCTACTCATCGCGGAGGCCACAGGGTGTCGGCCACCATGCAGGGGTACTCGGAGGCTCCTGGAATCTGGACGCAGGAGCAGGTCAAGGCGTGGAAGCCCATCGTCGACGCCATCCACCGTAAGGGTGGCATCTTCTTCTGTCAGATTTGGCATGTCGGCAGGGTTTTCATTAATGGTTTGTTCCCATCTAGCACTTTTGAGCTTGTTCGCTTGAACTTATCAGCCGGCTTATCAGTTAATCTATAGTATTTTTCTCTCACGATAAAACAGCTTCAATCGGCTTTAATACCAGCCGAACATGCCAATATATATATCTTTGTTAGCTCTGACTATACTATTGTTTGATCAGGTGCTGGTTGTCTTGTTGGTTACTGATTTTCCTTCAACCCAATTCGCAGATTTTCAGCCCGACGGACAGGAGCCTATCTCGAGCACGGACAAGCAGATTTCCCCGAACGCCGAGTTAGGAATGGTGTATTCGAAGCCGCGCCGGTTGCGGACTGCGTGGACTGCAATTGAAGCCGGCTTCGATGGTGTTGAGATCCACGGCGCGCAGGGATACCTCCTCGAGCAGTTCATGAAGGACAGCTCTAATGACCGCACAGATGAGTACGGCAGCAGCCTAGAGAACCGGTGCCGCTTCGCCGTGGAGGTCATAGACGCCATTGTCCGTGAGGTGGGCGCGGACCGCGTGGGCATCAGGCTATCACCCTTTGTTGACTTCTTCGATTGCGTGGATTCCGATCTGGTGGCGCTTGGCCACTACATGATCCAGCAACTCAACAAGCACGAGGGGTTTCCTCTACTGCCACATGGTGGAACCTCGAATGGCTATTGTGGACGGTCGCAAGCAGATTCCTCACAGGCTCTTGCCGTTCCGAAAGGCGTTTAACGGCACATTTATCGCCGCCTATGGGTACGATCGGGAGGAAGGCAACAAGGTAGTGGCAGAAGGCTATGTTGACCTTGTCGCATATGGAAGGCTCTTCTTGGCTAACTCGGACCTGCCTAAGAGGTTCGAGCTGAATGCACCACTGAACAAGTACGACCATTCTACCTTCTACATGCAAGATCCCGTTGTTGGCTACACGGATTACCCTTTCCTCGAAGACAGTAGCAATAATGATGATCAAGTACTCAAGTTTAATCATGCAGATAATCAAATATGATCACAACTAATAATGTGGATGGTTCATCAAGTATGGGTTCATCATTTTATACTAATGTGAGGTGAAATAAATGTACTTGCCGAAATTATTAGAAAAAGTATCTACTATTAATGTGAGGCGAAATAAATGTACTTGCCGAAATTATTAGAAAAAGTATCCACTATTTTCTAGATCATCTGATTTGGAGACTTGTCCAAGGAGAATCGTTGTCAGCTATACCTTTTCGTAATTCCCTTCTTTGGCAGACTACAGTAGAATCCTCATGTAGCATTTCACTATACCGTGTGAGCTTGTAGCTTTTTGTGAGCTTACCTAGCATTTCCTTAGTCTTCTTCTGCAAACCATAATAGAGTCTAAATCCTTATGCAACAATTCATTGAATCCTCGTTGAGTCAATATATTCAGTCAAGCGAAAGAGCCTGTAGCCTAATGGTTACAAGAGCCTCAGTAGCACCTCAGGTCCTGGGTTCGACTACTCGTGGGAGCGAATTTTTTAGGATTTAACGGTGTTATGCTTTCAGTTTCGTCGACAGCGAGACATATGTGATGACTTTGTCAATCTCGACTAGGGATAGGGTTTACGTGCGTGCGTTCATAGGGGCCAGTGTGCATGTATTATGAGTGTCTGTAGTGTCTAATCACAAAAAATATATTCCGTCAAAACTCGATTTTGTAAGGCTTTGTTTGGATTACATGATTTTAAAAGAAATTCTAAAGGAATCATATTCTTGTAGTTTTAAACACTGAAGCATCGTTTGGAACGGAGGATTTATGAATTTCTTTCTAGAGGAAAGGTTTTGAAGGAACGAGAAAATCCACTACCACCTCTTTCAATTTCTTCACAAAGTCTGAGGAACTCAGGATTACTAATGTTACTGGTGCATGCTTTCATGGAAGCAAACCGCCAAAGCACAAATTGATTTACACTAAAAAACTAGAGCCCATGGTTTCAACAAGCACTAGCATATGTGCCCGACTAGGATATTTTGATTTATTAACTAATATATGCCTCTTTGTGAAAGAAAAAAATATTTTATGTAGTTCTTGTTTAGTCTAAGCAATTATGTTTATCACTAATCCTTAAACTCATATGGGGCTCATATTCCTTTGGCCCAAACACCAAATCTTCCAAAATTCCTGTGTTTTGATTCCTCTGTTATACACACTTATTCCTCTTCTATTCTTGTTTTTTTTTCTATCCCTTTATTTTGTACCTCCATTCCAAACAGGTCCTAAACTTGGGGAACGTAAGGTTTTGCTTGCAACGACCTTGAGATTGCATTCTTCAGTTTTGAGTAAAAGATTGCCTACATTTTGTTAGCATCTAGCATTCTAATTTTGCTTGTGACTAATCCTAGGAACATCTAAACTGATGAATAATTAGGTTTTCTAGTACAATAGCCTAATTACCTAAATTGGGTAAATGACATACATGTCGCTTGTTTTTTAAGATGAAGCCTGACTTTTGAATTAACAATATATCTAGTGATAGTAGTTTTCAGAAGTTCAGTCTACACAATTTTCAGAAGTTCAATCTTTATGAAGTTCCCATGATCCTTGTGGCCCACAAAGATATCTACAAGCGCATTGTCCTTGTTGATTATATCATGTCTGTTTATTACATTCATTGCTTCTTTTATGGAGTCGTTGCCATCTATCGTAACATGTAGTGTACCGTAAAAAATGTATTAATTCATGTTAACCCTTAGAGTCTTGACTCGCCTAACATATGAACACACAAACACTTAATTCACAACATGGAAAAGTGCCCTAGGGTTGTTGAAGTCCCTCGGTGTAGCATGTGTAGATATTTAGACAAATTTGGGTGCAATTTAATGTAGAAAATTGGTAAAACATTTTTGACAAGCATGTGCACATGTGATCTATCTGTTGACATTATATTGATCATATACAAAGAAATAAAACAATAGGAGCTATAGCAATATGCCCTAAGGCGGGACTAGGGCATGCGTGCGTCCCACTAGGCGACATAAAGAGCTTACTAATATCGTGGACCACGGTCGATGCGGGGAGGAGGTTGAGGTGTGTGGCGCCCGTCCCACGAGCAGCTATCGAGAAAGTAGTCACGTATGTGTACTAGAGTAGTCAAAGTAGATCTTCTCCTTTGTCTTGGATTTGATTGCCAGGAATAGGAGTGAGTGTACGCCGGGAGCAAGGAGCGAGCACAAAATTATTGGACAAGAAGTCCTTCACCTCCTTAATCAATTGACATACGAACACAATATTGTACCTTCGCCCCTACCATAGCAACAATACACACGTATGTCAGCCTCATTCACAACAAAAACTAGCATATGTTAAAGTTTTATTGAACTTCTCATGCCATTGCTTATGTGTTTATTTTAGGCCATACAAAGATTCAAGTCTTTTTCCTGCGAGTGTCTTTTCCCTAGCCTTCTCTTCAACATCAAGATAACCATTAAGGTCAGTAACGCTAAACTCTTGTCTCTTTTATTTTAGAGTAGTCCAAAATTCCCTCCAAGATTGTGAAATTCCCTTCATGATGATACCACCAGCCAGGAACTTGTCACGCAACACACATAGGGAATGCTATGAAGGGAAGAAGGTTGAAGGCTTGGCGGAACCCTCGATGAAGTCACGAAGGCCAAACTGATGATGACCAACTGCTATGGAAGGAAAAGGGTCGAAGGCTCGGAAAAACCTTCGACAGGGATCCCAAGGACGGAAGCCCTCGGCAGAGTCCCATGACCTTCGGGGTGCTTGTGGTCGATAGGACGACGAGTGGATCCTTCGACTGGTGGAGTGTCGGTCTAATCGGGGCCGCGATTGCCCGACACCCTAAACCAAGGAAACACGACAGCGGCAAGGTTGAGCCAAGGGGCCTCTTGGCCCAAGGAATGAGCTCGACATTGGCCCACCGGCGAGGGTGGTTGAAGATGTAAAAGATGCTAAGGCCCAGAAGGTTGTTCATGAGAAGACGGAATATATTGGAATATGCCTTAGCAGTCACAAGGACATTCTTGTACTCATAAAATATTGTAAACGTACCCTATAAATGGGAGGGCTCGGTCCCCAATTAATGAGAGAGTGATTCCGTGGCTAGAAACCCTAGAAATTGCCTTGGTATTCGCATACCTTCGTGCCGAAGGCCCTAATCCTACAGTGAGGCCTCCGGTGCCCTAGGGGAGAGCTGCATCGTGCTCTCTCCTGTCTTGTTGGGGCCCTCGATTCCCAACACATAATATGAATAAAAACGAAGAAATGGATCGCATAATATCACCACTGTTTTTATTTGATTTTTTTAGTCCATAAAAACCTTTTATGCAAATTACAAACTACTGTCACTAGATATATTGTTAATCACTTTTCCTATACCATTAATTGAAACATGTGGTTCGTTTCTTGCATTTGTACTAAGCCACAAAAATCTGGCTTAATCTTAAAAACCAGAGCGATATGTATCATGTATGTCATTCGACCAATTAAGATTACCGCTGTGTTGGGAAAACCTGATTATTCCACAGTTTAGATTATCCTAGGACTGACCACAAACAAAATTCAAATGCTTTCTGCTAACAAAATGCAGGCAATCGTCTTTGACTCAAAATTGGACGACATCTATCTACCATTCAGAACAGAGAAGTCTCAAAGATCCATGCAAAACATTGCTATCCCCAAGTTTTGACTTAATATGTTGATTCAATGAGGATTCAATGAGTTACTACATAAGGATTCAAACTATTATAATCTGCAGAAGAAGATTAAATAAATTGTGGATAAACTCACAAACAGCTATAAGCTCACACGGTATAATGAAATGTTGCATAAGAATTCAAACCATTGAAATCTACCCAGGAAGGCAATTGCGAAAAGGGTACAAGTGGCCAAAATTCTCCTTGGGCGAGGCAACAAATCCGATGATCTAGAAAATAATAGGTCGTTTATTTTCTAATAATTTCAGCAAGTACATTTATTTTACCTTACACTAGTTGAGAATGAAACAACATGATGTAATGACTTCCACAAAAGTCAATAAGGAATGGTGGAAATAATCATGAACCCTACTTGATGAACCATTTACTGATGCACATTATTAGTTGTGATCAGATTGGTTATCTGCACGGTTAAGCATGAATACTTGACCTCATTATTGCTATCATCTTCCATGAAAGGATAATCCGTGTAGCCAACAACAGGATCTTGCGTGTAGAAGGTAGAGCGGTCGTACTTGTTCAGTGGACCATTCAACTCGAACCTCTTTGGCAGGTCCGGATTAGCCAAGAAGATTCTCCCATATGCGACAAGGTCAGTATAGTCTTCAGCCACTACCTTGTTTCCTTCCTCTCGGTCGTACCCGCCGGCGACAATAAACGTGCCATTAAACGCCTTTCGGAACGGCAGGAGCCCGTGAGGGATCTGCCAGCGGTCGTCAACAATTGTCATCCGAGGTTCCATCATGTGACAGTAGAGGAAGCCCTCGTGCTTGTTGAGCTGCTGAATCATGTAGTGGCCAAGCGCCACCGGACCAGAATCGATACAGTCCATGAAGTCAGCAAAGGGTGACAGCCTGATGCCCTAAAGGACCGAAAACAACGACCAGAGGGGGGAGAATGGAAGCCGTAACTTTTCTCTCGAAATATTTTCAACCGCTGTCTCAAATCACCGCCAAACACGCAAAGCAACCACCGTGGTGTCCACGATCCAAATGAGTGGGTGGATGTTCCTTAGAAATACAGCGGGACACCACAAAGCGAACAGACCACGAAGCACTCGCATCAAATCGAGGAATAGAAAATAGGATACTCAACTCCTGTTGAGAAGAAGCAACTTCCCAAATCTAAATACTCAAGGCAACTGGTGACAAGAGTACCTAGATAAGTTCCATAAATTAGTGGGAAGCCAACACAAAAAATGAAACACGAATCGGAGCTCAAACGAAAAAACCACGGACGAAATAGCGAGCTCAAGAATTAAAGACCGGAAATTTGAGGCTTCCGAACCGGTAATTCGAACCGGCGAATTTAACGTACAGACGCTGGCACCGGACACCGCCTCGAGCGGACGGTGCACCGTCTCGTGAAAGAACACCGGTCACTCCGGTGCCCACCCGAACAGAAACGCAAGAGAGAGACGCGTGGCTCAGGTGCTCTTCTCGGTGCTGGACCTCTGCTAGGCGAGCAGCCCACCAAGGGCGAGCACGCTGCGGTGCTTGTTTGCTCGGCGTCGGCCCTGCACAGAGGGAGAGGACGAACACCGGGAAGAACCGAACAGAGCTCTGGCGGAGGGGCTGCTCTCCGCGCTGCTCACGAAACGGAAAAGCACAGGCGCCCTCCGATGCCTAGCCAGTTAGAGAAGAGAGGGAGAAATCGCAGGGAGGGATTGCACACATGCTGCGATACAGAGAGGAGGAGTCGGGCCTAGCTGCTGGTGTACGGACAGGAAACCTGGGAGCGCTCAGCGCTGGAGCAGATGCAGCGTCATGTCCCAAGGGCGAGCGCCGCTTGGTGCAGGGCGAGCGTACTGGCCGCACCCCTCTGCTGCTGGTTCCACAAGCCAAAGCCCCTACGCGAGCAGCCAAACAGAAACGCACGAACAGGGAAGAACAGAAAAGGGAGGCGATATAAAAATCAACTAAAACTGACCCGAAACTTCATGAATCGAACCAAAATTTTGCAGAAAAGAAAGTAAACTAGGAACGAACCAATCCCACGAAATCATAGCCTGAGATTAGCCCAAACTCTGGGAAATTAAAAGGTAGCCAAGAACGAAAATAGGGAAAAAAAATGAAGAACGCAGTGGAACAAAAATCACACAAAAAAAAGTGACGAATTCCAGAGGGCACGAGAAGGATTTGACGTAAAATCACAGCAAACACAACCACAAATTTATTTAGCTGTGGACCACTCTCAAGAACACTAGGAGAAGGAAAACCTACATAGAAGGGGAAAATGAAAAATGAGAAGAGAAGAGGGTGATGGAGCACCATCATCCTATTTAATAGGGCAATTACACAATCCCAATTTTGTCTCTAGATATTTTTGAGCCAAACCACTGACCCGAGGGCGTAATGGTCCAACTCCTTTTCTGTCGATCGGACGGCCACACTTTCTTCACGGATTTGCTTCGCCTTGACGCAACCTCCGTGATTCCGCCATGTGCCGTCCCGTTCCTCCTCGGAACCTCCGTCCGGGTTTTGAGGACAAACCAACGAAACCATCCACCCAGTGGTTTTGAGGCTCAACCCACCAAACCGTCCAGGCCCGATTTTGAGGCCCAAACCAGCAAACCGTCCTCCGATGATTTTGAGGCCGAAACCACCAAACCCCGCCGATGGTTTTGAGGACGAAACCACCAAACCCCGATGTCGAAGCGTATCCAACCTCCGCCAAGCTTAATGCCTTTGTCTTCCTTCATGACTTGACCGACGCCCTCTACATCTCCCATGTAGATGCGTGTCCGGCTTCCGCCAAGTGCCACGATGCCATCATCCTCCATCTTGACTTGGTCGACGCCGTCTTCATCACCCATGTACTCTTGCACTCGTCAATGTCCCAAGTGTCAGCCACGTGCCGCCCCGTTCCTCCTCAGAACCTCCGCCCGAGTTTTGGGGCCCAAACCCACGAAACAGTCACCGGTGGTTTTGAGGCTCAACCCACCAAACCGCCGCGAGTAGCGTACTCCATACACATCCCACGTCACTCGATGCGTGTCACCGCCATCCTCGATCGGTCAGCCGCCAAGTCTTCCAGAGCCTCGCTCGACTCGCTCGACCGCCGTCTTGACTCGGTCAACACGGTCACTCCACCATATACACTTGCGTTTGTCGATGTCCCCAGATGTCAGCCACCGTGGCTGGTCACCCGGCCTCCTAGTCCCTCGGTCCAAGCCTCACGTCCGTCCTTCACCGCTCCCAGTCCATCGGCACGACACGTCTCTACTTGACCTTCACCTCGCCGTCGACCACCGCCTCTGAGGTCCACACCTGTGCACCACAAGTCAAGAGACATGTTGCACAACCCAACTCGCACAATGGTTAGTTCACCGACTCAACTCAAGACGCAAGTCACGTTGACAATCACTCATCACAACCGAACCATAAGGGCACATATCAACCTTGTGTTCGCAATCTCCCCCTTAATGAGTGCATTGTCAACACAAACACACAACAGCTGAGTAAAAGAAAAAGAAGAAGAAGAGAAAAACAAAGAACTCGCCCAAATGACCAAAAGCCAAGAAAAGCCAAAACAAGGTTATTTGAAGTGAGCAAAACATGCAAAAACTTGGTCACCAAAGACATGGGCAATTGCTCGACGCAACCAAATAAAACACAGCTAGCCCTCAAGAAGAGGCGGAATGGGCTCAACACCGCTAGCAAAGCAACTCAAAGTGCAACTCCTCCTGAATAAATGCAATCTCCCAAATGAATGCATGCACTCAACTCTAGGTGGATTTAGAGTAAAAACACATTCTCCCCTTGGAAATATCTGTCCCCTTTGTGTGTGGAATATTCTCCCCCTTGTTGACACATGCACTTATCAAGCCCTGAAAAACTTCCACTCCCCCTCAAAATATGCTATGAATGCAAGGGGTGCAGAAATGCAGAAGTTTCAGGATTATAGCAATCAGATTGAAAAGATACTCTAACTGGTGCTGTTATGTGTGTGTAGCAACAAATGCTAGCAAATGCTTAAAATGATCAAGTGAAATGAAATATGACAGATAAGCAATTTTGATCAATTTTAAGCAATTCAAGAAGGGGTTCACCACTGAAAGTAGCACATAACATGTATAAGCAGAAAATCAACCTAGTGCTAACAAGTGTATACAAGGTGAACTACCCCAAACAGGGGTCACACATCATGTCAAAGACAAACCTAAGACTTGTGTTTTTATCGAATTTTAATTTTATCAGAGTTTGCAGGTTAACACAAGAATTAGTCAAAACATGTGTGTGCGAGAGGTTATCGGTACTGTCAGGCCTAACCTAGCAACCATGCCAAGCCTATGTCATAGATAATCAGAAGCTTAAGACAATGGTTTTGGCATCCACTACAAGGCTCAAGTTCATCCAAATGTGCAATTGCAAGCCGTCTCGATACCTTGACGTGGGACAGTACAGACCCATCTCGATCTTTTCTAATCACTTAGCTTGATTTTCAAATTTTAGCACAAGAATAGTTGTCCAAGCAAGTGAATGACTCAAAGTATGAGACATAGCAACCTAGTATATAAGTAATAGCATCAGGGATCTCAACAAGTCCTACACATGCTAGTTGCCAATCTCAGCGGTGAACTAATTTTCATGTTTCAACAAATTTTAATCAAGTTCACAGATTGTAAAAACAAGCTTAGCTCATAACATGCATCAAAAGATCAATAAGAGCCTAAGCCATAAGTACCATCATGTAGAACATCCCAAATAGAGCATAATCTCAATCTAACCGTTATAATCATGAAGCTCAAAATACTCTAATATACATGATGTAATGTAATGCAATATAATACAAATCCAAAATAAAATCCAAGCTGTAAAGAAAAGCCAAAACTAAGAAACAAGATCCAAAGCTTCCCTAAGACAAAAAGGAAGCTAAAATCCAAATCAAAGTGCTGAACTTACCTTTGGTTGAGGCTGGAGAACCATTTGAGACTTCCGGTCATGTGGCGCAAACATCTAGAGTCAATGAGCCACATGTTCTCCTATCCTCCAACCTCCTCAATAGAAAGCCATAGCATAGGCAAATGACTCAACACTGGGGGTAGTAAACTGTGAAGCATACCAGTGTTGGGCCATTTGTTTAGAAAAAGGGTTAGCTGAAAAACCACTCATCCTAGGCCAAGAAGCAAAGCGATAACCACCACAAGGAAAATGTGGTCCGCTAGGGTGGTAAAAGCCAAAGCCACCGCTACGGGGACCATAATCATCTCGATCATGACCTGAACCCTACCGGGCACGACCACTGTGTGGTCTCGTAATCTGAGGCCTAGCTCCTTGAGGCATTGCACCTCTAGGCCTAGCACTGCGCCTCTGAACAGGTAGCACATGTACGCCATGGGGCGAGCGGCACATGTTCCGGTTGTTCAACTCGTACTCTCGCCGCTCATCTCTCTTCCTCCTAAAGCAGAACTTAGCAAGGTGACCATCCCTATGGCAGTAGTCATAGTGATACCTCACCTCTCTCTTAGGTGGTTGTGGCTCACTCTCTTGTGGGTATGGTTCACTCTTGGTGGCTGTTTGGCTCTAGGAAGGGGGTCCTCAAAGATGTTTGGTAGAGTGTCAAGTGGGTTCTTGAGATAGTTACATTTTGAAACTCAAACTTATTTCTAAGGTGGACCCATTGGAGGTTCTTCAAACACTCCATCTTTCATAATGGGCTCAATAGGCTTAGGTGGAGTGATTTTGATCAACTTGGGAGTAGTGGAGGGTTTCTCACTTGGGTTCAAACCACTAAACTCACCAACCTTGCCATAGAGATTTTCACCCTTCCCACCTAAAGCAAATCCTACACCTGCTCCACCAGTTCCCCGCCTGAACTGGCTGATCATCA